GCATGGGAAGGTGATGGGGGATGTGGGCAGGTGAGGGGGGTCATGAGCAGTGATGGGGGACGTGGGCAGGTGATGGGGGACGTGGGCAGGTGAGGGGGGTACATGAGCAGTGATGGGGGACGTGGGCAGGTGATCAGCGTCCCTGCAGCTGGAGGGGGGCTGGGTATTCCTGAATGCCCCCTCAGATTGGCCCGGGCGCTAAGACCACCAGCACATCCAGAGACCTGGTGGGAGTGGCCCTTCTCCTCCCACAGAAGAACCCACGGGCAGTGCGTCAGGCGGAGGAGGCGCGGGGCCTGGAGCAGCTGCACATGGACATGGCCGTGAACTTCAGCCAGGGGGCTCTGCTGAGTCCCCACCTGCACAATGTGTGTGCGGAGGCCACGGACGCCATCTACACCCGCCAGGAGGACGTCCGGTTCTGGCTGGAGCAAGGTCCGCTGGGTCTGCCGGCTGCCTGCCCATCAGAGAGGATAGGATTCATGTGAGGTGTGGGGTTCAGGGAAGGGACCTGCACAGAATGCTGGCTTCGCAGGCTCGGGAAGGGCATTCCCAGCCAGTCCCACCCCCTGATCTTGGTGATGATGAGCATAGATGGCGCAGGCACGAGGTCGGGGGAGGGGGAGGCAGACTCCCGTGCCCACATGCCCCTCTCTGCCCCGCCTCTCCTTCCTCTCACACCCTCCCTGGGCCATGTCGCCCCGGACCCCGGGCCTCCTCCCTCCTCTCAGGACCTCTGGCTTCTGGCCTGCGCGTGACACCACCGGGTCAGCTCCTGGTCCTTTTCCCGGGCCACCCTCAGGGCCGTGTCACCATTCCAGTCCCAGGACCCCGTCCCTCTGCTCAGCGGGCCTCACCCCAGCAAAATGCCTGCCCCTCCAGGTCACACTGGGTTTAGAAATGGCTGGCGGCCGTCACACCTCCACACGCCTCCCATGGGCTGCACCCCAAACGGAGGCACCAGCCTGACACTGTCCCCAGAGGCTGGTCCCCAGTGGCCACTGCGCTGAGCCCGGGCCCTGCCGCCTCCCACAGCCCCGTGTGCCCATCCCATCGGCCCCACACCCTGGCATCCTGAGCTGCCTGGTGCTCCCCTGCCCCTCCCTCCTGGTCCTCCTCAGATACCTTCCCTTGAAGAGGCATTTTGTGATTTCCTGCTTGTGCTCCCCCCAAGCCAGCAGGGTGGGTGTCCCCACTCCTTCCTGCTGTGTGAGGGGCTGACACCCTCCCTGGTGGCTTCCTCACCGAGAGGCAGCGCCAGGGATGCTTAGCTCCTGAGGGTGATGACGGGCCAGAGTCCTGACGGAGGGGCCCTCTGCCAGTGGACGCCCCTCCTTTGACCTCCCCCTGACCTTGCCTTTCTCCCCTGCTCCCCACAGGGGTGGACAGTTCCATGTTCAAGGCTCTGCCCACGGACACAGAGCAGGCGCTGCCTCGCTGCGGGCAGGCGGGGGACCGGGGGGCGCCCTGTGTTTGCCGCTACGGCCTGAGCCTGGCCTGGTACCCCTGCATGCTCAAGTACTGCCACAGCCGGGACCGCCCAGCGCCCTACAAGTGCGGCATCCGCAGCTGCCAGAAGAGCTACAGCTTCACCTTCCTCGTGCCTCGGCGGCAGCTATGCCCCTGGGAGGAGGACTCCTAGCTGGGGAGTGAGGGGAGGACTCACCAGGCCTCCCCAATCCCCAGGAGACCTTACTCCCCCCCTCCCCTCCCCTCATCCCAGAGCCTGTGGTCCGTCACTCATGACTGTGAAGAGGGGTGTGGTGTGCGGGGCAATCATGAAGGCAGCCCCACGCCCACCCTGTGTCTGACCGAGAAGGGGCTTCGCACACGGCACCTCTCCTTCAGCCGCCCGATTTCAAGACGCCAAAATGCCATGGCCTATGATTCCCCTGTTGAACTCTGCAGGTTTAGACCCTAAAAAGTGCCTTTTCCTGTGCCCCTTCCCCACATCAGCCACCTGTGCCTTTCCCCAGATGCCCTGGCCACCGGGCAGGCGGGCACCTCCTCTCTGAGCAGAATCGTGTCTTTGGGGTTCTGGGATGGGGAGCATGAAGCATGAGGAAAACTTGAATTCCAGATTTTTAGTGCAAAGTATTTATCATTTCTACCAGAAATTAAACGTTTCCATTTCTACTTGACCAGCCTGGCTGATGCTGCCCCAGGTGCTGAACCAGTGGTGCGGTGGGGCGAGGAGGGGGTGGGTGTCACTGGGGTTACAGACAAGCCCTGCACTAGGAAGAAGGGACAGACAGGTGAGCCAGCCAGACAGTGGCAGGCAGTACAGAGTATATTCAGTCAAGAGAGATGACGAACATTTCAGAACCAGACTTCAAGGCTTCAAATCCTGAGGGTCTGGCTTCTTATTTGCTGTGTACTCTTGGTCAGGTTGCTCTCCCTCTCTGCCTCAGCTCTCTCAGCAGTAAAAACAGCTTAATTGTGAGACGTGAGTTCACACATGTGTATGTTCATGGTGTTCGCTGCTATTACATCACTAGAGGCCCAGTGCACCAGTGGGATCCCTCAGCCTGGCCTGTGGGATTGGGCCGAAACCAGCTCTCCAACATCCCCTGAGGGGTCCCGGATTGTGAGAGGGTGCAGGCCAGGCCAAGGGATTGGGGCTGGGGAGGGACTGCAGGCGGTTGGCCACCTGGGGAGGGACCACAGGAGGGCTCCAGGGTGTGTCCAACCTGTCTCATTCAGTCCTGATGGGCTGGACCCCAGCAGCAAGCTAACCTACCAGTTGGAGTTTCTGCCCCTGTGGTCAGAGCGGTTGAGGAGCCTTAGCATATCATTAGCATATTATGCTTTGATTAGTTGAACGGATGACTGGAAGACAGTACACTTAGCATATTAGGCTTTATTATATAGGATATGTGTATGCATCTCTGCCCCTGATTCCTGACACAGGGTTCCTAAAACCCTTGTAAATTCCTAAGTGATAAGAGCACTAGGAGAATTTCTTGTTCTACTGAGGCAACTCTGGGTGGGCTCTTGGATGAGGGCCAATAACCAAAAATGTCATGATTAGAAGCTTGGAATTTTTTGCTCCACCCCACATCCTCAGGAGAGGGAAGAGGGGCTAGAGCTCCCATCAGCCTGGCCTGCCCCCTCTCCAATCCGGGACCCCTCGGGGGATGTCTGACTACGAGTTTAGGCTGGTATCTGGCCTAAACCGATAGTCGGACACCCCTCTCACAATCCGGGACTGCTGGCTCCCAACCGCTTTTGCCTGCCTGCCTGATTGCCCCTAACTGCTTCTGCCTGCCAGCCTAATCACCCCCTAACCACTCCCCTCCAGCCTGATTGACACCTAAGTGCTCCTCAGCTGGCCCAATCACTCCCAACTCCCCTCCTTCTCAGGCAATCCAGGGCTGCTGGCTCCCAACTGCTCGCCTGCTTGATTGCCCCTAACTTCTTCTGCCTGCCAGCCTGATCACTCCCTAGCTACTCCCCTGCCAGCCTGATCAATACCTAACTGCTCCCCTGCTAGCCTGATTGCCCCTAACAGCCCTCCCCTGCAGGCCTGGTCGCCCCTAACTGCCCTCCCCTGCTGGCCTGATTGCCCACAACTGCCCTCCCCTGCTGGCCATCTTGTGGCTGTGGGTGTCGCCATCTTTGAGGGCGTGGCAGTCAATTAGCATATTCCCTCATTGGCTGTGGGCACCACCATCTTTGAGGGCGGGGCAGTCAATTAGCATATTCCCTCCCTATTGGCTGTGGGCACCACCATCTTTGAGGGCAGTCAATTGGTATATTCCCTCCTTATTGGCTGTGGATACCACCATCCTTGCGGCGGCGTGAGGGTCAAGTAGCATATTTCCTCCTTGTTAGGTAGGATTTCTGCCATGAAAGGAGCAGGCATGTCCTCATCTGTAACCCAGACCACCAGCCAGACTCCTTGAAGCCCCTCACTTCGAAAGTGCCCGCCTGTGTGAAGAGGCTGTCACTGTGTGGTGCTGGGCTGGATGCCAGAGGATGCCCAAGGGGATGGACAGACCCCTGAATTTATTGCCCAAAGTGCCCTGGGTGCAAGGGGACGTGGGTGGAGGCTGAAGGGTGGTGAGAGTTTGGCAAGGTGGGGGGCTGGGGAGCCCTGTGGTCCCAGCTCCAGGAAGAGAGGGCGAGGGAAGCCAGCCTCCTTACAGGCCTTGGAGCAGGGGCAGCCCCCCCACTCTGCTCCCAGCACCCCAGAACAGGCTACGGCTGCCCTGAACCTGTGCAGGCTGGAGGGGGAATGCGAGCCAGGCTTGGCCATGGCCATTGTTGGGGGCCTGTGGGGAGACCTCAGGCAGGCGGTCCTCTCTCTGAACGTGTTTGCAAAGACCAGATTCAGCTGCCCTGGGAGCAGCTGGGGGCGGGAAGAAAGGGGTGGGGGTTGCTCCCCAGACTCTCCAACCTCCCCTCCTGCACATGTGGCCTCGGCCTGAGCCCTCAGCCCTCCTCCGGTGAGGAAGGCCTTACTTGGAGAAGGCACCTCCCACCCTGTGTGTCTGCTTTTTTTTGTTAATCCGACCTGAGGGTTTTTCCCATTGAGTCTTCGAGAGAGTGGAAGAGAGAAGGAAAGACAGACAAACCGATGTAGGAGAGACACATGGATGGGGCCGGGGAGGAGCTCGCCACCAAGGTATGTGCCCTTGGCGAGTTGACCCTGGGATTCTTCAGTCCACAGGCCAGCGCTCTATCCACAGAGCCACACCGGCCGGGCAGGACCAGTTATTGTCTGGAGGTCTGGAGTGTGCAGAGCTGGGAACGCAGGTAGGCGCTTGCTCCAGTCGAGGCAGAATCGCTTCTCTTTCCTTTCAAAACCTCAGGGTTTGCCCGGCCTGAGAGCCTCAGCCCCTCAGCAGAAGGGCATCGGGTGCCCCGATGGCTGGGGCGGGTTCCGCTCAGGGCACTTACCTGGCTGCGGGTTCGATCTCGGGTCAAGGTGCATACAGAAGGCAGCCGATCAAGATCGATGTCTCTCTCTCTCTTCTCTTTCTCTCTTCCTCTCTCACTTTCTCTCTCTTCCTCTCTCTCTCTCTCTTCCTCTCTCTCTCTTCCTCTCTCTCTTTTCCTCTCTCTCTCCCTCCCTCTCGTCTTCTCTCTCTCCCTCTCTCTTTTCTTCTCTCTCTCCCTCTCTCCCTCTCTCAAATCAATAAACATACCTTCTGGTGAAGATTTTTTTAAAAAAATGTTGATAGCCTCGAGAGGAACATTAGACCAGCACACCTGGGCAGCTAGCCTGCCAAGCTGGCACAGAGCATCACCTGCCACCACTTGACAAGGCCAGGCGGCACCATTCCCAGGAGAAATCAAGCATCAGGTTTGATCTCAGTTGTCAGCCACTGCCTGCAGCCAGGGAACAGCTGGGCTGCTGTCCCCTGCTCAACCCCTGCCCCTGTCCCATCGTCCTCCACCCTCCCTTGCCTGTGCCCACGGACCCCACCTCTGGGCCTGGCCGCCTGGGCT